GTTAAAGGTCGTGGTCGTTCATGTGGGGTACTGGAGGTGATTTGTCCTGAGATGGTTGAGCGATCTAAAAAAATGGTCTCACTTTATGGGGAGAAACCGGAAGTATAGTTAAAGAAGCATAGAAGTCAGACTTATCAGAAGTCAGGAGGAACCTCGGTACCACATGTGGGCAACGAAGTGTAACCTAGAGAAGGTATGAGGGTATTAGAGAGATACAAAGAATGGTTTAATAACAAGGCAGGGTAATGAGGGGGCACCACTGTTGAAAGGGGTTCTTGAGAAGGAATTTCATGGATATGGGACTCCATGGCGAAGTTTTCTTTATTTTTGAAAAAAAAAAAAAGGGACATGAAAGGGTAGCTTCTAGAAAGAATGAAAGGGATTGTATGTTTTCCTCCTGTGCCATAGAGGGCCCTCAGTGTGACCGGTAATGCTGATGTGGCATGAAACTCATGCCCTACCCTATCCTCCACGCTGGAAAACCGGCAATCCGGGATAGCACCCTTATATCCGCCGAGCCACCTCAGTGGACAAAAGACAGGACGGTCGGAAGCCCGCTTCAAGGCATACCTTCCTAGGCCACCACCTCCCAGAACCGATAAGCAGTCTCCAGAGGTCCACTTGCCACTTAAAGCATATCATAAGCCAACCTCAGGGACTCTGGATGGTGGATCGAAGCATCACCAGATGATCCAAATTCCACGGCAAACACCATCAACAAGGGCCTCAGCGGAATGGGACGGACATTGACACCCTTTCCCTAACCTAGGAGCTAGAATTTCAGATGGGAGGACACCAAAGACCGAAAGGAAGGAAAAGGAAGGGACGAGAAAAGGAAGTGGGTTGGGAAAGAAGGGATGGGAAGGATGGGGTAAAGAAGGGAGGAGTGGAGGGCAATTAAGTTTCGTCGGAGGAAGAAGACCGAAAAATTCAATTCCTTAGACCAAAAGCCTCTTCACCACAGCAAGGAGTCCCCCTTGAAGAGGGCATTTGTCCCAAAATATGCCTGCAAAAATTGCGGTGTGCCTTATATGCCAGAAAAGACCGTATTCATATTTGTTGTAGGTTCCAGATAAAACATTTATATCTCCTGAGTAGCTACAAGGAATTGCTTGAAATTTTTCAGGTGTAGCTAAGTATGATTTAAAGGTCTTTTAATTGCTAGAGTTCCATAGTTTAATTTCTTAGACGTCTATAAAACAAGTATATTTATTCGAGAGTTTTATAACGCCTAATTTAATTAGGTGTTATAAAATCCACCAAAAGAGGACATTTCTCTATACATATGACACACTAATATTTGATGTTTCAAGCCGACTAGTTTTTTTTTTAAATAAATCTGCAGTTGTAGTGTTAAACTTACCGACATCATCGTTCAAGACAAATGCGTCAATTTCTGTGTTTTTCACCTAATTATAACAGACATTTATTATACTGAATGGAAATTAGTGTAACATTTTATTTATTAAAAATTACACATTGGAACTTATGTAATTCAGTATCAGTGAGAACTTTCCATTTAGGAAAACATAGCAGCACTAAAAGTTGCAATCCTATCAGAAGAGCCATTCTCCAGTTATACCATGGAATCCTGTAAACCAAGAACAGTCATACCATGGAATCCTGTAAACCAAGAACAGTCATACCATGGAATCCTGTAAACCAAGAGCAGTCATACCATGGAATCCTGTAAACCAAGAACAGTCATACCATGGAATCCTGTAAACCAAGAACAGTCATACCATGGAATCCTGTAAACCAAGAGCAGTCATACCATGGAATCCTGTAAACCAAGAGCAGTCATACCATGGAATCCTGTAAACCAAGAGCAGTCATACCATGGAATCCTGTAAACCAAGAGCAGTCATACCATGGAATCCTGTAAACAAGAGCAGTCATACCATGGAATCCTGTAAACCAAGAGCAGTCATACCATGGAATCCTGTAAACCAAGAACAGTCATACCATGGAATCCTGTAAACCAAGAACAGTCATACCATGGAATCCTGTAAACCAAGAACAGTCATACCATGGAATCCAGTTAACCAAGAGCAGTCATACCATGGAATCCTGTAAACCAAGAACAGTCATACCATGGAATCCTGTAAACCAAGAGCAGTCATACCATGGAATCCTGTAAACCAAGAACAGTCATACCATGGAATCCTGTAAACCAAGAACAGTCATACCATGGAATCCTGTAAGCCAAGAACAGTCATACCATGGAATCCTGTAAACCAAGAGCAGTCATACCATGGAATCCTGTAAACCAAGAGCAGTCATACCATGGAATCCTGTAAACCAAGAGCAGTCATACCATGGAATCCTGTAAACCAAGAACAGTCATACCATGGAATCCTGTAAACCAAGAGCAGTCATACCATGGAATCCTGTAAACCAAGAGCAGTCATACCATGGAATTCTGTAAGCCAAGAACAGTCATACCATGGAATCCTGTAAGCCAAGAACAGTCATACCATGGAATCCTGTAAACCAAGAGCAGTCATACCATGGAATCCTGTAAGCCAAGAACAGTCATACCATGGAATCCTGTAAACCAAGAGCAGTCATACCATGGAATCCTGTAAGCCAAGGACAGTCATACCATGGAATCCTGTAAACCAAGAGCAGTCATACCATGGAATTCTGTAAGCCAAGACAGTCATACCATGGAATCCTGTAAGCCAAGAACAGTCATACCATGGAATCCTGTAAACCAAGAGCAGTCATACCATGGAATTCTGTAAGCCAAGAACAGTCATACCATGGAATCCTGTAAGCCAAGAACAGTCATACCATGGAATCCTGTAAACCAAGAACAGTCATACCATGGAATCCTGTAAACCAAGAGCAGTCATACCATGGAATCCTGTAAACCAAGAGCAGTCATACCATGGAATTCTGTAAGCCAAGAACAGTCATAACCATGGAATCATGTAAGCCAAGAACAGTCATACCATGGAATCTGTAAACAAGAACAGTCATACCATGGAATCCTGTAACAAGACGCATCATACATGGAAATCTGTAAACAAGAGCATCATACCATGAATTCTGTAAGCCAAGAACAGTCATACATGGAATCCTGTAAGCCAAGAACAGTCATACCATGGAATCCTGTAAGCCAAGAGCATCATACCATGGAATCCGTAAACCAAGAACAGTATACCATGGAATCCCTGTAAACCAAGAGCAGTCATACCATGAATCCTGTAACCAAGAGCAGTCATACCATGGAATCCTGTAAACCAAGAGCAGTCATACCATGGAATCCTGTAAACCAAGAGCAGTCATACCATGGAATCCTGTAAACCAAGAACAGTCATACCATGGAATCCTGTAAACCAAGAGCAGTCATACCATGGAATCCTGTAAACCAAGAGCAGTCATACCATGGAATCCTGTAAACCAAGAACAGTCATACCATGGAATCCTGTAAACCAAGAGCAGTCATACCATGGAATCCTGTAAACCAAGAGCAGTCATACCATGGAATCCTGTAAACCAAGAACAGTCATACCATGGAATCCTGTAAACCAAGAGCAGTCATACCATGGAATCCTGTAAACCAAGAGCAGTCATACCATGGAATCCTGTAAACCAAGAGCAGTCATACCATGGAATCCTGTAAACCAAGAACAGTCATACCATGGAATCCTGTAAACCAAGAGCAGTCATACCATGGAATCCTGTAAACCAAGAGCAGTCATACCATGGAATCCTGTAAACCAAGAACAGTCATACCATGGAATCCTGTAAACCAAGAGCAGTCATACCATGGAATCCTGTAAACCAAGAGCAGTCATACCATGGAATCCTGTAAACCAAGAGCAGTCATACCATGGAATCCTGTAAACCAAGAACAGTCATACCATGGAATCCTGTAAACCAAGAGCAGTCATACCATGGAATCCTGTAAACCAAGAGCAGTCATACCATGGAATCCTGTAAACCAAGAGCAGTCATACCATGGAATCCTGTAAACCAAGAGCAGTCATACCATGGAATCCTGTAAACCAAGAACAGTCATACCATGGAATCCTGTAAACCAAGAGCAGTCATACCATGGAATCCTGTAAACCAAGAGCAGTCATACCATGGAATCCTGTAAACCAAGAGCAGTCATACCATGGAATCCTGTAAACCAAGAGCAGTCATACCATGGAATCCTGTAAACCAACAATAGTCAAAACTTTCTTCTAAATAGGATACACAAGTGTTGAAAATGTGAAGTAGGTCATAACGAGCTTTGACAGGTTATCGCATGCAGGTGGAAGATGGTAATGAACTATGTACATACAACACTTACATATCCCAATCGATTGATGTTCATTTTCCCTTAGACAGTAAACAAGCATTCAAAAATTTAAGTTGATCGTATTAGAGGTCTCAAGTTATAATCGACAGATTGAAAGTAGAAAAAATCCATTCTGACAGTCACTTGAAGGTATTCTTACCTTCAATAACTCAGTAACTTACCACATGGGCTAATACCACATTACTTTAAATAAAAAGATAGTAAATTCACATATATCGTGATTTCAAATGAGGTGTTAACAAAATGCAATAGAGAACTGCAATTAGTTAAATAATATTGACAAATTGAGAATTACACATCTGAATAACAACATGAACCTTCCATTGAGGCAAATTCACCAAGGCTGAGAGTCGAAAACGATCACAAGAGGCATTCTTCAGGTGTACTCTGGGATCTGATTCCATGTATTTGATTGTTAGTATATTTTTAATATACACCTAAAAAACTAAGTATACAATCTTTCTCTTAATTAAGATGCACCAGCCATTATAATACTGACCAGCGGGAACCTGTTACAGTATACGACACCTGAAAATTTGAACCAAATCGGATAAAGCGGTTTTAAGTTTCAAGCAGAAATCTTAGGGTGAAAAAAATATCAGGCATTGCGGATATCTAATAATAATCTAAGATCAACCCTAGCAGTTCTTGGTAGATGAAACACTGGTCATGTATGTTACAGTCTGAGAGTGGCAAGTGGGAACTGGAAGGCGAACTGAGGGAACTGGAGGAGCGAGTGGCCGGCCTGGAAGCTGAGGTGCGCCGACTGGAAGCGTGGAAGAGACAGGTAAAGTCTACAAAAATATTTTCCTTGTATGTAGAGTATTGTTAATCCAAGGGGTATAATTTCCATTCTTCTTCCTACTCTCTTCATGATCCTTACTTATTAACAATAAGTCTTATTAAAAGAAACATTAAAAAAACACATGAAGGGCAAACATCAAGAACATTAGACTAGAGGAACAGTGCAGAAAGCCTACCATGTTCTAACCATTTTCACCTACATATAAACCTGTGAACCAATCTCTCAGTTGACTCTTTCTCAAAACATCCTTTATCACACACTGCCTCAGGTTCCTCTGGGTAGATCAAGACATCTTGGTTTCCTCAGTGTCTTGTAGCAATGTTATCACTATAACTGTAGAACTAAAACACTAAGAAAAAATAGAACACACATTACATAAAAAATAACATGAAATACATGTTTTTATATTTTACAGTATTACAATATTGTAATATACTGAAAGTGTTAATATCATTAATGGGAAGGATGGTTCTGATGAGCGTCAACAAGGACACTGATATTTCACTCTTCCAGGTTCAGTCTGGAATTGCTGGTATTATGATCTCACCAATTGCATGCAACTTTTTCTTTATTTGTTGTGGTAAGGGAGACATTGCCTTCAGTCTTTCTTTATTATCAAAATTGGTAGATGCTTTGAAAAAATATCGATTTTAATTTTTTTTCCTTCAGTGCCCTACAGTAATCAATGTCTTTATATTTCTTATCAGAGTGAACCCTTTCCAAGTGGTCTTTCATCTTCAGTGGTCTCATGGCATCATTACTGAAGCCATGAGATATGAATTAAAATGTTAAATATTCTTGAGTTTGAGGTGAGGGAGAGAGCTCAGTACGTGAAGTAAACAGCAATATTACGTACATGTTTCCCAGGAGAGGAGAGATGAGAGAGACAAATGGATGGGTGAAAGGACACATACATACATGCAATACACGTCCACAGACGTTTACTGACAACATTTTGTCCCCATAGACCCTTAGGGGTCGATATTGATCACTTTGATGATCCCTGACATGTATCATCCATCACGCTCAGGCTGGTGAATTTATTAGCAATGTTTAACAAACAAGCGCCTGAACCTGCTGTATAATTGGCTAAGAAAAATACGACGAGAAACAATATTCACTAGAGTTTTGTCTCTGGGCTTAAATTCAGTAATAAAATAACGAATGACCAGGAACTACATAAATTCTTTGATGATCAAGGTCTCTTGGACACTGAATAGTGCACACATGTACACTTACTATAGTGCACACATGTACACTCACTATAGTTGACACATGTACACTCACTATTGTTGACACATGTACACTCACTATAGTTGACACATATACACTCACTGTAGTTGACACATATACACTCACTATAGTGCACACATGTACACTCGATATAGTTGACACATATACACTCACTATAGTTGACACATGTACACTCACTATAGTTGACACATATACACTCACTATAGTTGACACATATACACTCACTGTAGTTGACACATATACACTCACTGTAGTTGACACATATACACTCACTATAGTGCACACATGTACACTCGATATAGTTGACACATGTACACTCACTATAGTTGACACATGTACACTCACTATAGTGCACACATGTACACTCACTATAGTGCACATATGTACACTCACTATACTGCATACATGTGCACTCACTATAGTTGACACATGTACACTCACAATAGTGCACACATGTACACTCACTATAATCGACACACGTACACTCACTATAGTGCACACATGTACACTCACTATAGTTGACACACGTACACTCACTACAGTGCACACATGTACACCACTATAGTTGACACATGTACACTCCCTATAGTGCACACATGTACACTCACTATAGTTGACACACGTACACTCACTATAGTGCACACATGTACACCTCTATAGTTGACACATGTACACTCCCTATAGTGCACACATGTACACTCACTATAGTGCACACAGGTACACTCACTACAGTGCACACATGTGCACTCACTATAGTGAACACATGTTCACTCACTATATTTGACACATGTACACTCACTATAGTGCACACATGTACACTCACTATAGTGCACACATGTGCACTCACTATAGTTGTCACATGTACATTCACTATGGTGCACATGTGTACACCCACTATAGTGTACACATGTACACTGACTTTAGTGCACACATGTACACTCACTATAGTGCACACATGTACGCTCACTGTAGTTGACACATGTACACTCACTGTAGTGCACACAGGTACACTCCTTATAATGCACATATGTACACTCACTATACTTGACACATGTACACTCACTATAGTGCACACATGTACACTCACTTTAGTGCACACATGTACACTAACTATAGTGCACACATGTACACTCCTATAGTTGACACATGTACACTCACTCTAGTGCACACATGTACACTCACTGTAGTGCACACATGTACACTCACTATAGTGCACATGTGTACATTCGCTATAGTGCACACATGCACAATCACTATAGTGCACACATGTACACTCACTATAGTGTACACATGTACACACACTATAGTCCAAACATGTACACTAACTGTAGTTGACACATGTACACTCACTATAGTTGACACATGTACACTCACTATAGTGCACACATGTACATTCACTACAGTGCACACATGTACACTCACTATAGTGCACACATGTACACTCACTATAGTCCACACATGTACACTCACTATAGTCCACACATGTACACTCACTATAGTTGACACATGTACACTCACTATAGTGCACACATGTACACTCATTATAGTCCACACATGTACACTCATATAGTTGACACATGTACACTCACTATAGTTCTCACATGTACACTCGCTATAGTACACACATGTACACTCACTATGGTCCACATATGTACACTGAATACAGTGCACACATGCACACTCACTGTAGTGCACACATACGCACTCACTAAAGCTGACACATGTACACTCACTATAGTGCACACATGTACACTCACTATAGTCCACACATGTACACTCACTATAGTGCACACATGTACACTCACTATAGTCCACACATGTACACTCACTATAGTCCACATATGTACACTGAATACAGTCCACACATGTACACTCACTATATTGCACACATGTACACTCACTATAGTCCACACATGTACACTCACTAGAGTCCACAAATGTACACTCACTATAGTTGATACATGTACACTTACTATAGTGCACACATGTACACTCACTATAGTTCACACATGTACAATCACTACAGATGACACATGTGCACTCACAATACAGTCCACACATGTACACTCACTATATTCCAAACAAGTACACGCACTATAGTGCACACATGTACACTTGCTTTAGTCCACACTTGTACACTCACTATGGTGCACACATGCACACTGACTAACGTGTGCACATGTACACTCACTGTAGTCCAAACATGTACATTCACTATAGTCCACACATGTACACCACTATAGTCCATACATGTACACTCACTATAGTGTAAACATGTACACTCACTATAGTCCATACATGTACACTCACTATAGTGTAAACATGTACACTCATTATAGTCCACACATGTACACCCACTATAGTGTACACATGTACACTCACTACAGTCCACATGTGCACACTCACTATAGTGCACTTATGCACACTCACTGTAGTCCAAATACGTATATTCACTACAGTCCACACATGTACACTCACTATAGTCCACACATGTACACTCACTATAGTGTAAACATGTACAATCACTATAGTCCACACATGTACACCCACTATAGCGTACACATGTCACTCACTATACACTACTACAGTCCCCCCCAAAATGTGCACACTCACTATAGTGCACACATGTACATTCACTGTAGTCCAAACATGTACACTCACTATAGTCTACACATGTACACTCATTATAGTTCACACTTGTACACCCACTATAGTGTACACGTGTACACTCACTATAGTTCACACATGTACATTTAATATAGTCCATCATTAAAAAATTCATTTATATTAAAACATCAGAAAAAACCCTTTTAAAAGTGCACTTAATTTTACAATTAATCCACCATTACAAATTACCCCCAGCCATTACCAAATGTCCCCTTTCCCTTTACCAATTGTACCCCCCTATAAAAATTGCAATGAAAAAGCTGAACATTACAATTTATCCCAAAAATTAAAATTTTTATCCCACAAAATGTACCCCCATATTTACAATTTTACCCTCATATTTTTAAAATTTGGTCCCCTTTCCATATTAAAATTTTACCCTCCATATTAAAATGTACCCCCCTTTATCCCCCAAATGTACCCCCTTATTTAACCAATGTACCTCATCATTCCAATGTCCCTTTATATTACAAATTGTACCCTCTTTTAATTAAAATTTCCCTCCACAACATGTACCCCAACCCAAAAAATTTTTACCTCCATATTTAAAAGTCTTTTTCCTTATCACAATGTACCCCAATTTTACGTACAAAATTTTTCATTACAAAGTACAGGGCACCCCTTTAAAATTACAATGTCCCCTTTATTTTTAAACCAAATGAAACCCTCCATTATACTAAAAATTTTTCCCCCTTAAAATTAAAATTTGTAAACCCCATGTAAAATTTTTCCCCTCCATTTAAAAATGTCCCCCAATTACCCAATTTACAAATTTACCCCCCTTCTTTAAAAAAATTACCCTTCTTTAAAAAGTCCCTTTAAGCGGACCCCCTTTAAAATTGTCCCCTCCACCTTTACAATGTACCCTCCCCCCATAACCTTTGGTTTTCCCTAAATCATTGCAATTTTCCCCCTCACATTAAATGTACCTCCATAAAAAAAAATTTTTACCCTCCTTAAATTAAAATTTTTCCCCCATCTTTCCCAATGTACCCCCCATTTTTTCAATGTCCCCCATCATTACTGTACCCTCCATCTTAAATGTCCCCTTCTTTTTAAAA